CTGTTGGGGAAGAGTGGGCTGCAGCACCTGCAGGGGTATGTCCAGGTCTTATCTCCACAAGGGTAGTGGCAGAGATAATCCCTTCTCCACAGAGAATGCCCCTCTGGATGCTGGAGCCAGGCTAGAGGCAAGAGTGATGGGGATGGGGGTGGAAAAGGAGTTCTATTCCCAGGACTCTTCACTTTACTTGATTGTAGCAGTTGATCGATGGTTGTTGTGGGCAGTTGATCAGTGGTCAACAGGAAAAGGTAGGAAATGAAGAAATGGTTGACCTGAGCCTCCTCCTTAAATTAAGGTATTAGGAGGTATTCTCCACCACCCAATCAGAGGGTAGGGCCCCAGATGCAGATGGTACTGGTCAGGTGTGAATTTCAGTATTGAAGTGATCTTGCTGAATGAAGGTTGCTGGACCGTGATGGAGAAATACAAGTGAGTGCACTTGGGTGTGAAAAGCAAAGCTTTTGATAAAGTATCTCATATTATTCTTGAGGAGAAGGTGAAGAGATATGGATTAGATGAGAATATAATTAGATAGATTCAGAGTTGGTTGAATAGCTAGAATCAAAGACTAGTTCTTGCTTGAATGTTTATGCGTCAGTCAGTCTCCAGTGGAGTAGCCCAGGGATCTTCACTAGACCCTGGACTGTTTCACATTTTTGTCAATGACTTCAATAAAGTCACAAGTGGCATCCTCATCACATTTTCAGGTGACACAAAGTTGGGAGTGACACCTAACATATTAAATGAAAGAGTTAAGATCCATCGGGATCTGGGCACACTTGAGTACTGGGCTGAGTCTAATTAAAAAAAAAAACTCAACAGGGATGAATATAAAGCCTTACACCTAGCTACAAAAATCTGCTTCACAAATATATATGCTTGGGGAGGCATGGTTAGATAAAAATGGTTCTGAAAAAATTCTGGGAGTTTTAGTGGACTGCAAACTCAGTATGAGGCAGCAGGATAACGTGGCAGCCAAGGAAGCCTAATGCAGTCTTGGGCTGCATTAAGAGAGCCATCACTTACAGCAACAGGGAGGCGATAGTGCTGTTGTAGTTGCTTTTACCAGATCTCATCTGGGTTTTTTGCTAGGCTCCATGTTTGAAGGAGGATATTGAAAATCCAGGGGAAGCCAATCAGAATGGTGTAGGATCTTGAGTTCGTGTCATATGGAGATCGCTTGAACTGGGGATCTTTAGCCTAAAGAAGAAAAGACTCAGGTGGGATAGGGTTTCTGTCTTAGAGGATCTGAAGGTGGAATTAGACTTGTTCTGTTTGACCCCCGAGGGCAGAACCAAAAGCAATGGGTGGAAGTTACAAAGAAGCCAATGTCAGGAAATTAGAGCTGTCCAAATGCAGAATGGGATATCTACCTATGTAGTGAGTTCACACCCTAGGAGGTGTCAAAGCAGAGGCTGCATGACCACTTGAGGACATTATAGTAAGGATTCCTTTTGCGTTTGGTTTAGATTTTATGGCTGCTAAGGTCCCTTCTGACTCACAAATTCTGTAAAAATTTTGTTCCTTAACTTTTGTAGAGTGGGGGCATTTACTGTTATGGTCCCTCATTGAAATGCCAGGTGCGTATCCTTTATTGGATTTAATACCTGGACTGTAAAATGCTTTTCCATTTATAAAGTCATTTCTCTAATAATTTCATGTCATCAAAATTAAATGGCCCCTCTGATTCAAATTAAGAAAAATGTCAGTTAACCTGAAAAGTATAACGAATGTGGTGACTCATACTGCACAGTTGAGGCTTGAGGGGCAGAAAAGTAGTCATTTAACTCCCATTGACTTTTCTTGGCATTTAAATCAGCAGCCAAGAATGTTTCAGGGCAGTGTTGGGGGAGCACACTAAGAGATTGTAGACTGGGAGAAGACACCATTAATAGCAAGAATTTCCCCCTTCCCACCTGCAGCCATCCCTTCCACCATCTTTCTAGCATTGAGAACACCAATACAAACACATCTGTGCCTCTCCCAAATAAAGGAAGGAGGGGGGGCAGATAAAAGGAGCATTTGAATCATCGTCTCCTTGATACTCTGGTTAGACTTAGAAGTTCTTTCTGATAATAACATCAACTGAAACTAGGAAAAAGCCCTATTCCTTTCTTTCCTTGTGAAGCTCAAAGCAAGCAAAGCCTCTTATCATTTGTTTTTATATCGTAATCTGCAAAACCATAACCAAGCCATGTACATAGAAAGGAGCCAAATCCTAGCTTGTGATGTGTCTGTGGGTCCTTTATCTCTCTTTTCTTTCTACTCTTAATTTTTCCTACTTCATATTCATCACTCTTCACCCCACCCCCTATCTTTTAAAAAAAAAAAAGTCCTGGTTTTCATAAACACTGGGAAAGTCCCTGCCATCTCTTTTCTGTTACATAAAAGCCTGAATTTCTCAGTTCAAATCTCCAAAACTTCCAAACCGTATGCTTAGTTTTCCAGAGAGTAGAACTGTCATAACTAGCCTTCCAGTTTTCCCTTTAAGGTTGGAATCTTTTGATGTTTCTCCCTCACCCCTTCGGGAATTCTGCAAGCCTCCCCCATATTCAATCTTCAAGGCTTTCACTGCTTCTTTGTAGTTCCTTCCTTCCACAGCAATTGGATCCGAAACAGCTGAGGTCTGCCAGATAACTCTCTGGCTTGAGCCCCCACCTCTTGCTGGCTTTTGCCTAATGGGGTTCAAGAGTTACCGTTCCAACACGTTGGCTAATTCCTGGACCAGGGAGACCAATGGTTTTCTCCTGAGACACCATCTAGCAAAATAATATTTAACATATGTAAGTCTGTCCCACTGAGAAAATAGAACATCGAAATTCTTGCTTAAGCCATGAATTCCAGAAAGTATAAATGAAAAGTCTGTGGAGCATTCAAGCATCAAGGTGCTTTCCCAGGTCCTTAACCTCTGAGATTAAAAAAGCACTGCTCAGTGTTTGGAAAGCACCTCTCAGATGCTCTTTCCTGGTCAGCAGATAAACAGTTACCTCCACAGAACATCTATATCCATCTAGGAATCCATTCAAAAATGGATACATGACCTGAATAGTAATAACCATACCATGAAAAAAATTAGAAGAGAAGCAGATCATACATCTTTCACAGCAGGGGGTAGGAGATGAATTCTTGACCAAATAAGCAAGAGAGGCAATTATAAAAGATAAAATTGATAATTTTTATTACATGAAATTGAAAGGCTTTTGCATAAACAATGTATCTAAGATAAGAAGAGGAGCAGTTAACTGAGAAAAATATTTCCAATAAGGATTTTTCTACATATTGAAGATACATAGACAACTAACAAAAATACCTAGGAACAAAAACCATTCCCTAACACAGAAGTGGCCAACAGATAAAAACAAACATTTCTCAAAAGAATTTTCTACTTCTCACTTGTATTAGCCACATGAACAAATGCTCCAAATCACTAATAATAAGAGAAAAGCAAATCAAAATAACCCTAAGGTTGTACTTCACATCAAGAAAATTGACAAAGGTGTCAAAGATAGGTATAAGTAATGTTTGGGGTGCTGTGGAAATATGGACACACTAATGTATTGTTGGTGGAGCTATGATGTAAAAATCCCTCTGGGATGCAATTTGGAATTATGTAAATTAAGCGGCTAAAATGTCCATACTCTTTGTCCTGAAGATTCCACTGCCAGTCATATACTCCAAAGGACAGCATTGATTTAAAACAGAAATGCTCTACTTTCACCAAAATATTTCTATCAGAACTTTTTTGTTTTATAAAAGAATTGGAAACAAAGTTGTAACTCATCAGTTGGGTACTGGCTAAAACAATTGGGACGCATGAATGTAATGGACTATTACTAAGTCAGTCAGTCAGTATGACCACTTTGTGGAATTAGATCACAAGATTTAAAAGCCAAAAAAGATCTCTAAAGTCATCTAGAAGATAGTGCAGAACAATGGAAAGAGTACTTTACTCTGAAGCCAGAAGACTTGAGTTACAATCCCATTTCAAATACTTACTACCCATGTGACTCAACTTTTCTGGGCCTCAATTTCCTCATCTGTAAAATAAGGGAGCTCTAGATTTATGATCCTATGGTCTTGTGAAATTAGTAATAAAGTGTGACCAGTATCTAAACTCATGAATTCCAGAAGGTTCAAGGTACAAGAACACCAAGAACAGCAACACTTTCAGCTGGGGTTCAGTGATTAGAGAATTTTATAAAAAGTGGCTGATGATTTAAAAAAAAAAAAGTTCTGTGGACATAGGTGAAGCTCCCCTAGACCAGTTCTGAGGGGAGGAGCTAATGACTAGGAATCTGACTTTGACTCAACTAGGTCTAAGTCCTAGGCCTAGAAACTTCATGTACCCCTTCAGATCTCTGAAGACAACAATCAATGCTTTCCCTTGGTTTCTTTTCTCTAAGATAACACCCTTCACTGTATCCCATATGACACTTGATAAGAAAACCTTAGAGAATGTTACTACATTTTGTTAGTACAGTTTGTTTTGACAGGAAGTGTGTTACTTAACAAGAAATAATGGGAAGAGTTGACTTGGCTTTATTTGCGTCAAGATACAAATTAAGAAGTGTTTAAAAAATTCTTAGGAAAGTTAAATTCTGATTGGAAACATTAAAGTAATTCAAGTGAATTTCTTCAGCAGACTGGTGACACCCAGGATAGGCACCTTGTAAGCAGCCATCTCAACTCTGAACAGGTGAATACAACATAACTGGGGTCATAGGGCTTCATTAAATTGACACAAGTTGCTCCATCAAGAGATGAGGACCCTATAAATGTAAGAGCAACCACTGTTTCTGAAAAAAGGAAAACTTGTCAGTTTCAGTTCCAACTTTAGAGCCTTTTTGGTCTTTGTGTGGGGGGTGGGGCAGTCCAGCTAACTGGACCGGATGTGCTGCATTTCGCCACAAACATTGGAGTCTGTCCTGGTTTTCAGGCTGGTAACTCAAGAGGCTTAAAGAAAGGCCAAAGTCCACTGGATGCGCACATCCGCACGGGCTTCAATGTTTCTTGTCACTGTCCTTATCCCTTTCCCTTTTCGGTGTCATCTGCAGGCAGTCGGCCTGCAAGCCTTGGGCCTGCATGGCTTCGGCCTGCATGGCTTCCACGGCCGCCCTCCTATGGTTGAAGGCGTTCTTGTCCTCCTCCAGCTGCCGGCGCTTCTCCTCCACCTTGGCCTTCTCCTCCTGAAGGATCCTCTTCAAGTCCTCGAACCTCTCACTCAGCTCTCTCTCCTTCTCCTTCACCTGCATCTCCACCTCGCGCGCCCTGCGGGCGAACACCTGCCGCATGAGCTTCTCGTTCCTGCGCATCTCGGCCTGCAGCTCCTTCCTGTGCGCCTCCTGCCACGAGTCGTCCTGCCAGCCCATGTCCAGCAGCTTCTGGCGCCGGTACAGCTCGTAGTGCCTGCAGTGAGTCTGCTCCCGCAGGTCCTCCATGTTCACGCAGATCAGCATCTCCCGCAGCTTCACGAAGTCGCAGTGGCTCTCGTTGTCCACCTGCACCACACCCCAGGGGTACTGGCGGCCGCGGAGCAGCTGGCCGCCCACCTGCACGCACTCCGTGCTGCCCACCACGGCGAAGGGCAGCTGGGCGTTCATGCAGGCGTTCACCTCGGCCACGGCTTCGTCGTCCGTGGGGAACTGGTAGATGCGCACGCCGTTCTGTTCCAGCTCGCTCAGGATCCTGCCCTTGAACTCGGGCAGCTCGCTCTTGGTGAGGGTGTCGGCCTTGGCGATGATGGGGATGATGTTCACCTTGCTGTCCAGCTGCTTCATGGTCACCAGGTCCACGGCCTTGAGCGAATGGCCGGTGGGCGCGATGAAGTAGAGGCAGACGTGGACGCGCGTGTCGCGATAGTCACGGAGGCAGCGCTGGAGCTTCAGCTCCTCCTGCAGGTAGCGCTCCAACTGCTCGTCCACGTAGTCCACGATGGGCCTGCAGTCCTTGTCCATCTGGTCGCCGAAGCCCGCCTCCACCACGGTCAGCCGCAGATGCACGTTGCACTCCTGCAGGCAGTAGGTGCGCGGCCGCAGGCGCACGCAGCTCTCGAAGTGGCTGCCCTCGCCCGTCTCCAGGACCGTGTTGAAGAGCGTGTTCATGAGCGTGGACTTGCCGATGCCCGTCTCCCCCACGCACAGGATGTTGAAGCAGAAGTCCCTGGCCAGCGACTTGTTGACCAGCTGCTGGGGCAGGCTGTCCAAGCCCACGTGGCCGGCCAGCGTGAGGAGGCGCACGTCCTGACTCACCAAGCACTCCAGCGGGGACTCCATGGCGGTGCGAGGGCGGGGCCGGGACCGGGAGCCGCCTGGGGCGAGGCCGCAGCTCCAATATGGCGCTCCCGGGAGCGTCTCCCCCAGCGTGGCCCCTCCCTCCGGCGCCTTCACCCAACGCAACACCAGAGGCCTGGAGCTTCCCGAGGGTCACGTGCCCCTCCCCCACAAATGGAACCCTTCTGCCAGTCACGTGGGTCCTACCCCTCTGTTCCCTTTGTCCTGGGCGGAATGGGGGGGGGGAGCTGCATGCTGACCACTAGCTGGTCAGTGGGAGGGGCCAGAGGGCAGGAATCTAGAACAAAGGTCGCTGGCTGGCCCTTTTCAGCCTCCCCCTCCCAGCCTAGTCCCCCTGATTTACAAGGGAGGCGAGGCTCTTGAGGGTGAGAAGGGTAATTAAAGTCTCCCCAACACTAGTTACTTGTCATTGAGTTGTGTCTGGTTCTTCACGACCCTGTTTGGGGTTTTCTTGGCAAAGATACTGGAGTGCTTGGCCATTGCCTTCTCCAGTGCATTTTACAGATGAGGAAACTGGGGCAAACAGGGTTAAGTGAATTGCCCAGGGTCACATAGCTAGTGAGTGTCTGAGGCTGGATTTGAACTCAGGTCTTCCGGACTGAGCTCCTTTAGGAGCTCTTGTTGCTGTTGCTCAGTCCTGTCTGACTCTACCTGTCCCCTTGGGGTTTTCTTGGCAGAAAACTGGAATGGTTTGCCATTCCTTTTCCAGTGTGTCCCCATTTTACAGATGAGGAACTGAGGCAAATAAGGGTTAAGTGACTTGCCCAGGATCCCATAACTAGTAAGTGTCTGAGACCAGATTTGAACTCAGATCATCCGGGCTAGGTATTTTATCCATTGCACCACCTAGGTGTCCCAAATGAAGCTCTGGGAAATGATTTTCTGAGGCCAGGAGTATGGTAGGATTGATTTATGTATACATTTATTTACTCACTTATATATTTGTTTGGGGTGAGAGGAGTTGTTTTGTTTTGTTTTGCCATAACTCAGGAATAAGTTAAACTGAGAGTCAGAGTATGCAGCAGAAAAGAGTCAATTCAAGTAACAGACAAAATGAACAAAGCATTTCCAAAGTGAGCTGGTTAGATGTGACTGACTAAAGTCTGAATCTTGGGGGGGGGGGGGCGAGGAATTGACTAGGAGTATTGTTTATTTGTTTGTTTGTTTTTAAATCTCAGACCCTTACAGCTGCAATCCAGCATCATATGTCAGCAGATGTTGGCCAAGATCAAGTGAAGGTCCCCAATAGAGTGCAGTAGAACTGCTCAGAAGAGAGCAGGGCAGTGGAGACACCAGCAAAAGACCTCCAACTTAGTAGAGAAACCAGCGCATCCAATGACGTTATCAAAGACACGAGTAGTCCTATAACCACTGGAGGTGTGAATTTCCCTAGACATGTGTGTGTCACATGTATTTCCTATATATGATTTCTGTGCATGTGCCTGACTACATATGTTCACCACATGTATGCCCCTTTCCAAGTGTCACCTGAAGAAAAATGTTCCCTATCGCTGTTACTTCTTACACTATTGATATGATAACCAATGAGAAAGTACCCCTGTACATATGGGGAAAAGGGTCACTTCTCTTACTATACTGTTTAAATATCTTTTGCTTTAAAATAATGTTCTCTGGTTAGTTGGTATAAAGAAGCACGTCAGTGGGGGCCCAGATGCTATGTTTTTGAGTGGATGCTGGCCCATATGCACAACCTGCCTTAAACTTAGGGGAAAGGTCATGAGAGCCCAATGGGAGAGGAGGGGGAGGCTGAGTGCTATATACATTAACCTCATTTCTGACTCCTGCGTTATTAGGTTCCACTCACATTCAGTGATAGAAGAAGCAATGTGGGGGAGGGGAGGAGGGTGAGAATGTGTCACAGCAGAGTCTTGGTTAATGATTAGAACTTTGCTCCCAAACAAAGAATTCCTTTGTCTCACTTAGTATTTCCTCACTCTTAGGTGTGCATGGGCAAAAATTCTCCAGATGTGCTGGATGGACTCCCAGAACAAGGCCCCCAGAGAGTTCCTCTCATCTCCTCCTCATTCCTTATAGTTATTTAGCATGGAAAATCCTCATTTTGCCCTGTAAAGCTGCCTCCTCCCCAGGCATCTCTTTCCCCAGAGGGTTATTGTTTTTTTGGTTTTGTTTTGGTTTTTTTTGTTTTGGTTTTTTTTTTCCTCTCCAAGATCGTGAGTTGCTTTTTGAGAAATTCACAAATGAGAGAAGGGATGTCAAAAACATATTCATTCACTTGCCTTTCCTCATAAATAATTACACCAACTTTCAACAATTAAAAGGCTGCTTTTCCCCTGCAGTTGTCTTCAAAGGAGGAAAAAAGATATGATACTGTCGGTCTGCTACGGGTAAAGTCCTACCTTGGCTCTAACTATGACTCAACTCTTCGTACCAATTTTCCCTTCTCTCCAAAAGCTGAAAGAGAAAGATTGAAAGCAATCTCCTAGAGGACACATGCTCTAGGTTCTGCTAAGAGCACAGATTGCCCTGGGAGGGCAGTCACCTTTACTTTCGTATCACACACCGCTCTACTTATACTGCCCTTACCAAGATTACTAATGATATCTTGCCTTTTAAAGCTGATGCTTTTTTTTGTTTTTTGTTTGTTTGGTTTTTTTTTTGCAATTCTCATCCTCTTTGGCCTCAGCTTTTGATAGTGTCCACTGCTTCCTCTCCCTGTGTACTCCCTCTCCCCTTGGTTTTTATGCCATTACTCTCCTGATTCTCCTTCTGATTGATTTGTCCTTTGTTCTCGAAGAGCACCAGGGCATCAGGAAGGCGATGTTATGACTTGCAAGTGAATTGGATTTAAGTGAGGGAGGGTTGTGCAAAGTCACCAGCCTCACTCTCTCCTCCAGAGCCATCTGGGTCCAGTGGCAAGATACAGATCAGGAGGACAGATGCAGTGGGAAACCTTAGCCATTTTTTATATACTTTTTTCTTTTTTTTAAATTTATTTTTAGTTTTCAACATTCAAGACCTTGGCATTTTTAAGCTAAAATCTTTCCCAGGTCTCAGTTTAACTGAGGCAATGCCCATTCAGTGATTAAGGCTAGGTAAGAATTGAGGCAAAGAATGTCCTCTTTTACCTAGTTTAAAAAAAAAAAAAGAATCTAGGAGGAGAACACCCTCAGGGTTTCTGGCCAAAACAGAAACAATTGCATTTACACTCACTCTGAGCCATCTGAGCCCAAACAATGACCAAGTGAGGGCTTAGACTGGGACCTATTATTGGCCTATCAATGAGAGCTAGAATGATTTGGGTTTAAGGGCATGGTCCTTAAAAAAAGAAATCTAGCCCATAAACTCCAAGATATCTTGCAAGGTTTCAGCACCCATAGGTATGATTCCCTGTGTGGACAGAGGGAGAGGAGGAAAGGAAGGAGGGAGAAGAGGGAAGGAGGGAAGGAAGGAGGGAGAAGAGGGAAGGAAGGAAGGAAGGAAGGAAGGAGCATCATTGAACTGAAGCTGACCAGTTGGGTCCCCAGTGAGGCAGCTCCTGTGTGTCAATAGATTCTCCTTCCACTTTTACAACCACTCATTTATCCTCTGTCCCCTAAGCATGAGTGTCTCCCAAGGCTCTGCCCTGAGCCCTCTTCTCTTCTTTGTCTACATAGGATCTCCCTTCTCTGTGATCTTGGTGATCCCACCTACTCCCCCTGGATCAATTAACATTTCTACAAAAAACGATTCCCAAATCTATATGTCCAGCCTTAATCCCTCTCATGACCTGCATCACCTGCTAGATACTTCCACTGGGATGTCACATAGGCATTTCAAAATTAACACATCCAAACAGATCTAATTATCTTTTTCCCACTCTCAAAAATACGAAACAAAGCAAAACCCTCTTCCCTCCTCCAAATTGTCCTATTGCTGTTGAAGGCACCACCATTCCTCTAGACACCTAGGTTTCTAAACTTGGAGGCTTCTTTACCTCTCCTTTCTTCTTTGCCCGTCCCTCCACAGTCAATAAATGGACAGATATTGTTGATTGTATCTCTAAATCACCCCCTTCTATTCATTCACACCACCACTACCCTAATTCAAATCCTTATCACCATTCATCTAGACATTTATTTCTCTGCTCCAACCAAGTTCCTCCTTTCTCCAATCCATGCTACATGTAGTGGCCAAAAAGAATCCTCCTCTCTTCAAAAATCTTCAGTGACTCCCAATTGTCTCTGAGGTGAAATATGAACTTCTGAACCTAGCTTTTAAAGCCCTCCGCAATCAAACTCCAAACTACCTTTTAAGACGTTTCATATTCCACCCTCAGCACACGCTGTGTTCCAGACAAATTGGCCTGCTAGCTCCCCCACCAAACTCAGAATTCCATCTCCCATGTCACCTCTGCCAAGCCTCTTCCTAGAATACACATCCATAACCTTACCCATAGAGTCCTTGGCTCCCTTCAAAAGTCAGCTCAGGTTCTGTCTCCTGATTCCCTATTCCCACTCACAGTCTCTCTCACACACACACAGAGTTCAAAAGTGCTGGATTTAGTATCAGGACATGGGTTCAAGTTTTGTCTGTTATTTACTATCTGTGAGACTTCAGGCAAGTCGCTTAACTTGTCTGACCTCCGTTTCTTCATCAGTGAAAAGGGGTTAGACTACATGTGACTTGCTGCGGTGCTCCTCAGTTTTAAGACTATGAAACTAGATTGTAACACTCCATCAGACAATAAGCAACTTGAGGTTGCCTTTTTATACCCAGTATTTAACTCAGTGCCTTGTACAAGGTGATGCTTCATGAAAGTTTGTTGAATTGAATTGAATGGGCTGCCTTGAAAGGTAGGGAGTTCTCTGATATGGGAGGCGTTAGAGGATGGATGGCCACTTGTCAGGTATGGCATAGTGGGTGTTCCTTTTGTTTATGAGTTGGATTGGATTGTCACTCAGGTCCCTTCCAACTAACAAATTTTATGATTCTGTGAATTGAATTGAATT